TGGGTCACGGTTGATTGCAAGAAGCTTCCAGGTAGCCAGGGGAGATAATTTGTGCACAGTAGGTGGCGCTAGAGGGTCACAGAACTAGGGAAAAGGCACAGAGCTGGGTCCCAAGGTCTCAGAACCCATGCTTCTAAGTAATCCCAGCACTTGGCAGTTGGAGACTGGAGGATCAGGAGTTCAAAATTATCCTTGGCTCCATAGTAAGTTTCAAACAAACAAACAAACAAACAAACAAACAAATAACAAAAAAGTCAGGCATATCATTGCCCAAGAGGGCTGGGCATTAGAATCACTATAGCAAAGTGGGGTTTTGTTCTTTTTCCAAGATTCTGAATCTCAGATGCAATGCCTATGGGTCAGAATTCTTGGCATTGGGCCTTGGACATGTTTAACAAGTTGCCCATGTGACTGTATTGTGTAGCCAGACTGGAGAAATACTGATGTAGATTCTAGGATGATCCATGTGATCATGAAACTCTGTAGAATGGTCCAGTCAGCAGCTTCAGCTTGTCAGAATATAGGGCCCTGTGCTAATCAAAGTGGGGTCCTCAGCCCAGCATCTGTGCAGCAACCCTCACATCCCCAGAGCTAACTAGAAATGCACACTCTAGATCCTCTCCACCCACCAGACTTACTGCATTCAAACTTCCCATTGGTGATTCCCAGGGAAAGTGGGGTAGGAGAGGTCCCCCAGCACAGGGCTCCTATTTGCACCTGAACCCTCCTAAATGTGAGTTTCCTGAGGGTGGGATGGTATTTCATCCTTGGCCTTCTCTGAGCCTTCAGTGCAGATGACAGTAATCCTTCTTATCGCTCCTTCTCTAGTTAGGGAAACTAATGTTTGACTCCCAGATAAAACTGTGAATCCTTGGGCCATAGATTTTGCTTTTTAAATTTCTGTATGCCCACTGTCTAGCACTGAATCAATTTGTCCTTTGGGTACAGAATTATAGAGATCTTGAAACAGAATAGACTTTGTAGGTTGTGAAGAACAAACCACTTAGTGAATGGATGAAGAAATTAAGGAGACGTTAAGTGATGCGCTTAGACACTCCATAACTGTCACATGATTCTACCTGAGAGGTCGACACAGGGTTCGGAGAGAGAATTCTGAGATGGTGCCTTCTCTATGCAGTCCTCCTTCCCTCAGCTCTTCAGAGATGAGCTCTGCTCCTAAACTCCTCTGCATCAGCCACCTCTGCCCTCTGAGCTTCTGAAGCTGAATGGCGCAATGGCTCTGGGATTTCTTCTGGCCTCCTTCTCTCCCCAGCCTTGCTGTTCCGGGGCACAGTATACACCCAACTCTCAGGAGACAGGACCATGGTTCTTTGACATCCTAATCTGCTTTCTGGCCTAATGCCTAGAACAGGACTGAGCATATAATAGGCATGATATTTTTGAAATATCATAAAATGATTTTGAAAGTCTGCTATTTAAAATATACATATATAATCTTTCATGCAGGCTCATGGTTGGAAAATGGTGAGGTTAGTACCGAAGTGTAAACAAATCAATCATTTTCTCAGCTTCTGTGGACCTCGGTGATAGTCTATAGGGGACATTATGGAGTTCATTCATTTGCTGTTTCTGTCCATAAAACCAGGATCTTAACACTATAGTCCAAGGCAATCATGAGACTGAGATTTTCCCAGTTCAGTCTCTCAGGAATATTTTCCAAGAGCTATTAGATGCCAGCTTCTCTGCTAGAAACTTGGTGAACAAATCTGACCCAAACAACATAAACCCAAACTACGATCTTTCCCTTCTGGGGTTCCCATTCTGGACAGTCCATAAACAAACACAGGAAATGCAAACATTGAGTAATATGCTATGCAAGTGGGGAAATAACAGAGTTTAAGGACCTTGGGTTCTGAGAGCAGAGGGCAGACCAAGGGGATGGTAGCTTCCCTGGGAAAATGCCATTTGAGCAAAGACTTGAGGGGACAAGGGAGCAGACACTGAATTTGGGGAGAGGTGTTCCAGGTGGAGGAGTTGATTGATGAGGGACAGAAAGTATAGACAAGAGCATATATATATATATGTGGGACACACATATGATCATTTTATCATATGGGTGGATTTGCACTCCATAATGTGAAAAAGAATCCACATGTATGTGTTTTTCATAGCTTAGCATGTATACACTGTTAATGGCTTGCTTATTCTGAGATAACTTTCTAGCCCACATGACTAGGGAGGAATATGAGGATGACACTGGTGCACACTGACTAGATTCAACATTAAAATATTTTTTCACATTTATTTTCTGTGTGGGTGTAGGTGCGTGTGTATACCACATGCATGTGCCATGGCATGCATGTGACGGTCAGAGGACAACTTGTGGGAGTTGGTTCTTTCCTTCCACCATGTGGGTCTTGGGAATTGAACTAAGTTCATCAGGCTTGGTGGCAGGTACCATTACCTGCTGAACCATCTCACTAGTTCTAGATGCAACATTTAAAGAAGTGTCTGAGCCCAGACATTCAGATAATGGAGAAGACTTAGATGATAAAGAGACAGGGCTATCATGAACCTTAGGGACAAAGATGACCACCTGACCAGAGGGGCCAGACTGAACTCTGGAATGACTGACTGCCTTTGTTCCCACCTCTCCCTATAAAACCTGCTGGCTGGAAATGAGATGGAAGGCAGTTTTGGGGTCTTAACCTGCTACCTCCAAAGCACAATGGAAAGACAAGTAGCACTGTATGCTGGATAGCTTTAGTGTCAACTTGACACACCTGGGTCAAGGTCAAGGGAGCCTCAACTGGGGAATTTCCTCCATAGGACTGGCCTGTGGCCGTGTCTGTGGGGCATCTTCTTGATTGTTGAGTGATGTGGGAGGGCCCAGTCCACTGTGGGTCCTGCCGCCCCTGGGCAGGTGGGCCTGTGTTGCATAAAAAGCAGGCTGAGCAGGGGCCAGGGAGCAAGCCAGTAAGCAGAGTTCCTCTATGTCCTGTGTTCAAGCTCCTGCCTCTAGGTTCCTACCATAGGCTCCCCAATGAACTGTAATCTGGGAGATGTAAGACAAATAAACCATTTCCTCCCCAGGTTGGTATTGGTCAGAGTGTTTTGTCACAGCAGTGGAGAAACAAACCAGGACACACTGGCTTTGGTAATCTCTTACGTAGTCACCAGCACCATGTGAAGAATTTGGGGAACAAGGGACCAGTTAAGGAGGAGGGGGTGGGTGCCTCTCTCAACCCTCACTTTCTCCTTGGCTCCCCCTTACGCTATGTGTATGTATCCTGTCCATCCCTGGCTCCCATGCACAGGTGGTCTGATGTCTTATTTCACCAAATGCTGATCTTATCCTTGGGGGTTACTGTTATCTCTATCTTATTTCTGAGGAATGGGAAACAGGACCCCCACTGCTTGCCTATGAGCTCACAGAATCAAAGTCACCATTTTCCAACTGAGGACACTTGGATTGTGACTCACATTTAGTGTCCAGCATCATTTTGTTGATTGTAAAGTAAACATGATGTTTGAAGATGCTTAGAAAGAACTGACTCCAAGTTCAGAATAACCTTAGGCGGAGACAGATGTGAGAAATGTGTGTTGCTCATCTTTGCTTTCTAGAATAATCTCTGGTCCTTTGGGCAATGGGAATCAAGGAGGAGACATTTGAAAAAGGTGGGAAAGTCACCTTGATTTATGCAGGTCCTGAGATGTAAGAGGAAGAAAAGATTGGTGAACTTGCTGTGTGGTATTGCATCCACTGAAACCTTATCACACCAAGGTAACCCATTGTCCTCCCCAGGAAAAGCCCTTCCCAGCTCTCCTAGCCCTTTATTCCCCAGCTCACTAGCCTTACCTCACCTATCCTAGAGGCAAATGAGTTTAGAAATGGGTTTTCTGAGAGTAACTCTCAAAGAAAGGAGAAGACGGGCCTGACTTGTCCATCTGGGCTTTGGATGGCTCCCCAGCCTAGAGAGACCAGTGGTGGCCTAGGAGTGTCACTCTGTGCAGCACAGACTATGTCATGATTTTCTCCCAAGCTATAGAACCTCTTTCCATCTAGAATACTGCCTCTAGCTCCTGATTCTGCTGGGGTATGGGCTTTGTGGTTTCAGGCAGTACATCCTCTTGCCTAATCAAGCCTGCAGAGCCTCTTGACTGCTACTGGCTCCCTTGGCAGTGGACCCAGCTGACTGTGGATGGCCTCATTCATGTTTGATGATGTCATTACAGCAGCCTCAGGAGACCAGCAGCTTTCAGAGGAGGGACTGGATGTTCCAGAGATTAAAGGGCTTTCTACCAGTTGTTTATTTAAAAACCTTCCCCTGACCATGGCTGCTATGACTGGCCCCCATGCTGTCCACTTCTTCTGAGAAATGCAAGAACAGTCCAGCCACCTCGGGGACAGCATCTGGGCTTTGACATCATCAGAAACAGTGGTTTCTTCATGTTTGGGGGGTGCTGTTTCCACAGAGAAACCTACCACTTTGAGCTGATGGCTTGGGGTCAGGTGTCACAGGCTGGGCTTGTCAAGTGGCCTGGTGCTGCGTGGCTATGCAGTGGCTATCGATTAAATTCCTTCTTCCCACACTACAGAGTGTACTGTGGGCTGGCCTCATGAACAGAGTAACCCTACTTGCATGTGTGCTCAGACCTGCTCAGCTGGAATCTGTGGTTCTTTGGACATGGTCAAGGCTTTGCATTTTGTGAACAAAAGATTTGCCACAAAACTTAGAATATTCATGGGAGATATTAGTTGTCACTTTGGGAGGGTCATCCGTGTGTCAGGGACTGGCACTCACCCCTCACGCAAGGTCATACACTTGTTAAGCACTCCTGCTCTAAGGCCAAGTCCACAGGTGCTTTAACACCTCATTTAATATGCAAGATGTTGCGTTATTTCAACAGCAAGGAAGTGGAATCAACCTAGATGCCCATCAATAATGAATGGATAATGAAAATGTACACAATGGAATTTTAATTAGCCATAAAGAAGAGTGAAATCATGACATTTTCAGGAAAATAGAAATACAGGATTTAGTAAATATGTGAAGGGAAGTAATCCAGGCTTAGAAAAACAAATATCACATGCTCTCTCTTTTGCTACGATCCTGGTTTCTAAGTTTTAGATATATGCATGTATATGGGAGTGAGTGTAGTAGAGGTCAGGAAACTAGAGAGGTGAAAAGAGGTTTAAGGGAGGTGGGTGGGAGGGTAATAGATGCATGTGATAAGAAAGCAAGGACTACTGGGGACAGAAGGGTATGAGTGGGGATGGTGTTGGGGAGATGGGGGAGAAGGGGATGGGCAGGGGCCAACAAGAACTAAGTATGTATAAAAGTACCATAAGGAAACTGGTTATTTGTATGCTAATTAAAAAATCAAAAATCAAAAGATGTTGAGTTATTCATATCGCTTTGTCAACGTAGATCCATATGCAGGGCTTCCTAGGGGTTTATTCTTGCTGAGGACAACTGTGTCGAATTGAAAAAAGAAATGAAGTGCCTTATAAGTTCGTTTCAGTTGACAGGATGCAAACTACAGAGGCTTGACTCTAGTCATGTGAGTTTCGCCCTCCTGTGAAGTCCTGTGACTCTGCCTGTACCTCGCACCGGATGCTTGCTGTGTGGTGAGGGACATGGAATCCATGAAGCGTGTGGGAGCAGGCAGCAGAACCTGGAGGAAGCAGAAGGTAGATCTTACGTTAGCAAAGTGTGAGATATTGGGCAGAGCCACAGGACCTCACAGTCCTGCTCCTCAAGCCTGTGACTCCAGTGAACATACAGCTCCTCAGGTGACGCTGACAGGGGATGGTGCACGATGGACCTCGTAGTGCTCCCAGCATAGGAGTCATGCCTGACACATGGGTGGCCATTAGAGTCCAGGGGGCTGTGCCTGCAGGGCATCCTTTAACCTGTGCACCAAGGCAGACCCATGGCAGGTGGAAATGCAGCCTCCTCAGCCCTGAGTAGTGATCACAGGTGCACACAACTGTGCCAGGTTTTCCCGTTCAGCTCATTTAATCTCTAAGCATTGTGGGTATTATCATTATGGGTTTTTTGTTGTTGTTGTTGTTCTTGTTTTTGAGGGAAACTGGGTTTCAGAAAAGTTGAATCATTTTCTTCCTTGATTCACTGCCCACTGGCCTTGAACTCCCGCCAAGACTCTCATCTTTGCTCTTCTTTGCCATGCCCACCTTGTCCGTCTGGTCCCTTCCCACCTTTCTCAAGATTTTTCTTCTTCCTCCATGACACGTACATCACGGTGGATTACAGGTGTTAGCTTCTGCACCTCTTCCTGTTGACCATGAGAAACCCAAGCATCCTGTCTTCATCCTCTTCCTAATTGCCCCATGGTGATTTCAGTATTTAGCATAAGTGTGACTCACAGTAGGCGCCCAACGCATGTCTCCAGTCTCTCTGCTTTGACTGCAACAATCCCTTGGGTTTGCGCCTAGCACATGGCCCAGGACTGTCATACTTTCAAAGAGTTATTGCCCTGCCCTGTCACCATTTAGTTACATGTAGTAATAATGACAGTTAAATAATAAAGTGTGACAATTGTCAAATACAAAAGTTTCTGAACCAAGTTCTCTAACTTCATTCTTGTTAACCTTGCATCATAACCATGCGTCATCCCTGTCTTACAGCAGAGAAAAGTTGAGTGATAGATGGAGGTCACTCAGAATGTGTGCGATGACTTAGGATTTGAGATCAGCTGAGGTCAGTTGAGAGTGTGTTTCAGAGAATAGCAAGCAGCCTGCATTAATTCCTGGGAAGTCCTGGGCCGATGTGGACACTGGCTGGTGGAAGTCTAGTTCAGGCAGCACCCGTGCTGTGTTCCTGAACTGTCGTGCACAGTACCTAGTTATCAATATACTAATGTCACTTTTTGTGTCTCCACAGAGATTCACCCTCCAGTTGTGGGCTCCAGGAGACCAGGGGCTTTAAGGAGACTTGGGGTTTGCTTTAATGAGGTATGTTAGAGATACATACGTGGAAATGAGTGTCATGAAGCAGGAAGTGTGTGACACCTTAACAGCAGGAAGCCCGGGCATGACATGCAGGCCTCACAGGAAAGCATGGGTTGTTTGGGAAGCATCCCAAGCCAGTCAGATGTTGCTTCTGTGTGAAAGAAGGGATGACGCAGGGCACTCTGCTTAGGACCAGCCATCTTGAAGAATCTGGGGCAGAGGAGCTGGTCTCATTGTGTGGTACCGAGCCTGGAGGCAGAAAGGGAAGGTGGCTGGTGTCCAGGTCATGAGAGCTAAGAAAGGTGGTGGTTGGGGCCTGGACTCTGGTTTGGTTGGTTTGCCTGTGAATGGCTCCCTTGAAGACAAGGCTGTCCTGGGAGGACAGCCTCTCTGAGGTCAGCAAGGCCCTGGGTATCAGTGAAGCAAAGTGTAGAGTGTAAGAAGGCAAGGGAGAGCCGAGGATGCAGCTCAGTGGTAGAGCATTTGTCTAGCATGTGAAAGACCCCTGAGTTCCACCCCGAAAACCTGTCAAACAGATTGAAACACATGACATATTGTAAGCTTTTGCAGGACCTGGTGGCACATGCTTGTGATCTCAGCACTTTGGAGGTTGTGGCAGGAGGACTGCTGCAAGTTCAAGACAATCTGGGTTATATAGCAAGATCCCATCTCAAAAAAACAAAAATAAACACATTTAAAGAAGACATGATTAAAACATGCCATTTGGACTCTGAAGAAAGACAAGCCTTGCCCTCCTTGGCACTGCCTGACTAGGAAGGGACAGTGTAATAAGAGCCTTGCAAGAGGTGTGTGACAGAGAGGAGGAAGACTACAGCAAACTGCCCCTTTGCCCTCAGTTCTGCCGTCTCTGTCTCCCTATCTCTCTATCTCTGCCTCTATCATCTCTGTCTTTATCTATACCTGTCTGTCTCTATGTCTTTGTTTCTATCCCTGTCTCTCTATCTCTCTCTCTATCTCTGTCCATGTCTCTCCATTTCTATGCTCTATGTCTCTGTCTCCCTAACCCTCTGTCTCACTATTTCTGTTTCTATATTATCTATCCCTGTCTCTCCATCTCTCTGTCTCTGTGTCTATCATTTCTGTATCTCTCTGTTCTCTCTCTCTCTCTCTCTCTCTCTCTCTCTCTCTCCCCACCCCCTGTCACTATGACACAGACACCTCTTCCTGTTAGCCATCCATTCATACTATTCTCCTCTGACCCACTATGGGACTGGTTTTCTGAACACTGACCCCAGTCCTGTGGAAAATTCTCTGAGAATATCTCTCTGCTGGGGACACTGAAGTGGGGGTGGCTCTGAGGGGACACTCCTTGACTCCTTGACTTGCCTCCAGGCTTGGAGGCTAGGGCTTCAGGGAGCCCAAGGAAGCTGGGATAGCTGCCTGCCAGCCCTGGATTCTAGTTTTGGCTGGTTTCCCAGTCAACCTGCTTCCACACAGAAGCATACAAGTGTGCATACACGGGGGATCGGCATGGTGCTTTTTGTAAATAGCCAGGAGAGTGCATGAGCCAGGGGATCAATTTCACGTGGGAGTGTGTCATTTTGCCATAAATATACACAGAGAGACAAGGGTCATACAGAGGCACAAACTGTCTGTACAGACACAGACATGTTTGTAGATAGGACTAGTCACTGAATCTGTCACCCTCCAGATACACACGTGCCATTGTACACAGAAACACCCAATCCAAACACCTCACTCCTGCATACATGTTCGATTCTGGCTGTTTACTCCTCTGGAACACACTGTTCCAAAACTTACTGGCTGGCCTAATGGGAAAGCCGCTGATGTTGTTTTGCAAAATGGACATGATGTGCCTATAAAATTGCCTTCCAAAATAACTATGTTTATGCCCATAGATTACTGTTGCTATCAATTTTGGTCAGAGAAGCTTCTTTTTGCAATGGGTGGCAGACTCATAACTAGTCATTGTGCTGAGAATAAGTGACTGTTGAATGTCTAGCCCTAAATGGGACATCTATATCATCCCCTCCAAGGCTCAGGAAACATAGGAAGGAGGGGTCACACAGAATGTAAGAGGGGCTGGTGAGACGGCTCAGTGGGTAAAGATGCTTGCCACCAAGCTGATGACCTGAGTTGGATCTCAGGGACCCACATGGTGGAAGAAGAGAATGGAATCCAGCAAATTGTCCTCTGACCTCCACAAGAACTGTGGAGCATGAGCACCTATACACAAATAAATAAATAAATAAATAAACGTAAAACAAACAAACAAAAAAACTAAGAGCTAGAGTAACGGGTAGGAGCATGGTACAGAATGTTGACTTCTGGGCATGATGTGACTGTTGTACTCTTGAACTCACAGCCACACAAGACTGGGTACATTGACATCTTGTCTCAGGGGGAGGGGCTTATGAGGCCCCATCCCTCCCTGAGGATTTATAGGTAATTCATGGTTGCTGAGGGATGGAGAGACATTTTCTTTAGTTGTATGTTGCTAGTAAGGCGCCCAGGATTCTATAAACAACCCCCAAGTCATGCTCCTGTAAGTATCCCTAATAAACTCACTGGATCATCAAAAATTTTTTTAAAAAGGAAAACAACGAAGACATGAAAATAAAAGGAACTAGTTGGGAAAAGGAAGGGGACCAGTCAGAGTGGGAGGGGACAAACAGAGGTATTGGGGGGCTGGTGAATAAGTGACCAAAACATATTACATGTGTGTAAGAAAATGTCATAATGGGGGCTGGGGAGATGGCTCAGTGGTTAAGAACACCGGTTGTTCTTGCAGAAGACCCAGGTTCAAATCCCAGTGCCTACATGGCAGCTAACAACTGTCCGTAACTCCAGTTCCAGGGGATCCAACAGCCTCTTCTGACCTCTGCAGGCATTGCACGACATGGGTGCACTTACCTACATGCAGGCGATACACGCATACACAAAAAATAAAAAAATAATTTTTTTTAAAAAAGAAAATGTCATAATGAAACCCACTATTTGTAATTAATATATACCAATAAGAACATTTTTTTTAAAGAAAAGAAAACAAAAGTGTAAAAAAAGTATAAAGAGGGGGAAAATTACTGGCTAAATCAGTATCCTTACTATAGCTAGTGATTTCAGTGTCTGGAATGTGTATGGGGCTTAGCTGGATGATCCTTCTGCCCCTTCCAGTGGTGGCTGAGCTGACTCAGTAGTACCTGTCAACTAGAAGAGCTGATCTGGAGGGACCCACCTATGCCTGTGGGAGGAAGGAGCTAAGGACCCAGCACAGTAGGGACTAAGGACAGGAGTCATACACTAGTCCCTCAGGAACAGCACCTCAGAGTCAAGACCCTCCCCTAATAGTTGGCACCCCAAGAAAGAGCATGATGTGAGGCAGGAGAGGATGCAGTGAGGACTCTCACATCCTGGCCTCCAAAGAGGTGAATGTCACTCGTCTTGCATGCTATTGATCAAGCAAGTGACTCAGGCTGACTCAGATTTAAGGGGTGGGTCATTTAAGGGGTGGGCCTAAGAATTTGAGGCCATCATTACTCTAACACAGATGCATACACACACAAACACACACATACACACATGCATGCATACGTAGTCTACACAGCTCACAAAAGCTCAAGCTGCCTTCCCTTGCCAGTACACTTTTGGGGTGCAGCTGGGCTAGAAGCAATGGACCCTGTGAGTACCCTGTTGAGGCAGAGCTAGGAGCTCACAGCCTCCCTGTAAGCGCCTGTCCTAAAACTGAGCATCTCTATGGACAGGGATTTCTATCCTGGGACTTAGATCTTTCTTTCTTTCTTT